GAGACACTACCAGTGTCTCCAGATATTTTCTATTATATTGTTCTGACTGTAAGTTTATGCTTCGAAGTACATGTTTGTTCCCATTTTGGAGTAATGGCCAAATTTTCTGTGGTCGAATTTGAGGACGGGCTAGATCTAGTGCTCAGCTCGTGGTTAACTGACGATTCCAAATGTTATTGGCCACCCTATGAAGAAGATAAATTCATCCGCAAAGCAGTTTCAAACTGTGAGAAAGTCGACTCCGCAAAATGGACAGCGGTTAATATAATCCGCATCTTTACCACGGCAAGTAAATGAATGATCGACTTCAAATATATCTCGAGAAATACAGTTTGTAACTATTAAATTACAAATTATGTTAATGTCAAACTATTAAAATTAAGTTTGCACGTTAAGAATCGTGAGTTTTGATGTTCTTCATTAGTGTATTCAGTAAAGAATTGGTTACTGTCATTTACTTCATTAAAACTTCAGATACATACGAAAGTGGAATGAAAAAAGTAAAATTGGCAGAAAAGATGTCGGACATAGATTCGTCCGATGCGGATAAATCCAAATGCCAATGTAGAGCAAGAAAAATCATTGAAAAAACGACGAATCGGAGGATGCAACCTTTTCACTACCTCCTGCTCCGGAAAAACCGACTTCAGTATTGTCCAGAGAGGATTCTCTAAAGAATGCAAAACAAGTATGAAAGGATATATCTAATACTGAAGTAATTCGTGTTCCTAAAGAAAATAAGAATCCATTGAAGAAGAATTCATTATCATCTTCGCCACTTGGCAAAAAACGTATAGTTTATTCTCGTGATGATGATACAGAATCTGCGCGGAAAATGTTGAAAGAACATCTCATCAATTCGACGGTGGTAAATGTCGATCATCTTATGTCAACAATTGCAGCGGATCCGGGTATGTAAAAAACGCGATCACAAACGACATGTCGTTTCTATATTTCATCATTTCGCTAATTTTTTGTTTGCATTAATATAATTAATATTTTAGAATTCAAGAAAGAATTACTACGTACATGTAATCAAATAAAATCGAAATTGGAGCGCATTGATGGAAGGCTGCAAATTATAGAAGACGGGATGGAAAAGAGCATTACCGAACAAAAAAACGCTGATTGGAACGTCTATGATTTTATAGATTTGCCTTTGCAAACCATCGAGGACGTCACAAAATTAGATTTGGATCTTAAAGACGAACGCTTCTGCAACAATATAGTAAAAGTATAAATTGATATATTCGAAATAGATATTTTGTAGATTGATTTTTTGTCATAAGATATACAAAGTATCAATTTCATTGCTTATGAATACATTTACTTACCAAATCAGTATATGCATACATTGACTATAGTAAGTGTATTCATTTACTGAATTAACACTTTGACTGTGAAACATACTTGAAAAAAATAATATACGTATAGGTAGAACTGCAGTGTGAACGTATATTTACGTTTGAACTATGTTCTTTAATAGTGCATTAACGGTTTTTAATGTTTAAAAATCCTTTTTGTTTGTCGTCTGTGAACAATATTTTTACGATTATTTTTATGATTATACCCCACATAGCAAAAATTGATCCTAGGTACATCCTACAGACGTATGTCGAGGGATTTTCAAACATCCTGAGTACGTATCTGAAGAAACTCAGGAGGTATTTAGAACATATTGAGGATGTTCGAATGTCCGCTTATTCTACATCCATAGGACATCATCATTCAGATATCATTAGGATGTTTCTGGATAACCAAATTTCATCCTATCTTTATCCAGTGGACGTCCTAAAATGTCTTTTAGGATGTTAACCCTTGTAGAAAAATACTACTGAGCACTACTGCGCAGTGCGCAGTAAGTACTTTTTTACAAGAGTATACCCGCGTCTTGATATGATACAAAATGCAGGAAACGAGTATGCGTCATGAAACTAACTATAGTTAGTTAAATAAAGTTATTCATAAATAACTATATTAAAAAAAAGTATTTTCAGAGGCTCCATGAGCACACTCTGATCAAGTTAAGAGTGATGAATTCCATTCACATACGCCTCTTTATAGAGATCTGCGTCATTTTCTCCTTATGGAAAACGAGCCCATCTCGCGGTGATACTGCGTACTACGCCGCTTGCTTGGCGACGCCGCGGCGTCCGTAGTATACGTATGCCTATAGCGTACGTATACTCTGCCAGGCAAGCGGCATAGTACGCAATATCG